TTATTGCTTCCATTATACCTAAAATCACAGAATATATTTTGTCTCAGAAGGTAACCAATTTCTATGATTAATACAACTTGACACTGAATAAGAAAACATATGAACATCATGAAAAGTTGAAAACTCAGAAACAGTAAGCTCGTTCACATCCGCAGCCACACACATACACAAACGACGTGATTTTACAGAATCACGCACACTCGCTTTCACATTAGTAATTTCACATTTTTTGTCGTTTTTTATTCACCCATTGTGACTAGAGAATCGCGTATTTTCCACAAGAGACCTTGCAGCGCCCTCGTTGGGTTCCAACAAGTTCTCCTACATGTACGAAAAAACGTATTTAATCCCCTCGACGATATCGCCACAAACTAAATTGCCTCCAAAATTCCCGCAGAACAAAACGCGTTCACAGATTTCTGTTAAAATCAACTAGTCGTCGCAGCTGTAAATAACTAACAATACTCTTTGCTTCTTTTTATATGCTGAAAAAAAAGATACAACGAACACGTTTCCACGAAAAAATGTAAATGAAAAAGTTTCACCCCTCACGACGTTTGCTTGGGGTTTATCGGGCTTAATCGGGGTTTTTGGTCAAATCCCACCTGGGGTGCGTTTTGTTTTTTTAAACGGAGCCACTCGCTTATTTTCAACGCAGCCAGAGGCGAGAAGAGAGTAGGAGCGATTCCGCCTGCGGCTTCCAGGAAGAAGGGAGGGAGAAACTGAGAGTGAGAGGGTGGGATGGAGGGAGAGGGTCGCGAAACGCGGCGAGGGTTCCAGCGTGGCGGAAGGTCGGGCTAGGACGGCGGTAGGAGGCGAGGGCAGGTTGTGAAGGCGGGGGAGGTAGGGGCGTGTTGATGCCAGGTAGAGAACTAAGGAGCAGAGCGGAATGTCGGGGAAAAGATCGAACTTTGGTGGGTGGGACGTGTTTGGGCAAGGAGGATTTGGAGGGGAAGGGGATAAGCGAGATGGAGAGAATTGGGCGCGCAGGAGGGCGAAAAAAATTGAGATAGGCAGAACAATGCATTGCCGGGCGGAGTTGGCCGGTGCGAAGCAGTTCGAAGAAAATCGAACTTGGGTCGATTAGGTGACATGTTATGGGATTGGGTGAGAACAGACTGGCGGGGCATGAGTGAGACTGAACGGAGCGCGGTAGGAGTGGGTGGGATGTTTGGTATGGCGGGGATATCCATGAAGGGGTGACTGGGGCGGAGTGTGACAGGGCGGGGGTAGAGCTGAGAAACGGGTCAGAGAGAGGTCGGAGAGGGGTCGGAGAGGGTCGAAGAGGGTCGGTGAGGGTCGGAGAGGGTCGGAGAGGGTCGGAGAGGGTCGGAGAGGGTCGGAGAGGGTCGGAGAGAGGTTGAGCAGGGGCCGAAAAAGGGTCGGACAGTGTTCGGAGAAGGGTCGGAGAGTGATCAGAGAGGGAGCGGAGTGCGCGCGAGGAGCGATCGAAGAGGGAGCGGAGCGGTGGCGGAGGCGGAGCGGGGAAAGAACGGAGCGGGGCGGAACCGAGCGGGAAAAGGGCTGCGTTGCAGAGAAGAACGAAGCGTAGCCGTGCGTTGCGATGCTGCGGCCGGCGCAGGGGAGGGGAGCCAGGTTAAGGCCAAGAGTGTGGAAGGGGTTGGAGGCCGCTGTAAGCGCAAGCGCCGGAAGCCAAGCTCTTGTTCCCGCGCGGAACTTTTTCTCCGTTCGCGTTTCTTTCCTGGCGGTGGCCGTGGGGAGGAAGAGGGCGTGGCGGCGGTGATTGCGTGGAGGCGAGGCTTAAGAAGAGGCAGCGGAGAAGAAGTTGGTCGGCCCAGACCTGGTGCTGAGGCAAAATTGAAGGTTGCAAGCGTCACGTTAGCGGCTTGGATGCAGAGGCAGTGGAAGTCACCATGAGATCAGTTGGCTGACGTCCAATTAACGACGAGCCCTCGCCGATATTCAAATCATTAGTTACCACCAATCTGGTGACGTTGCTTAGGCGAAGAAGTTCTGAACATAATGTTGTTGGTATGGTGATTTAGATTGGTGACACACATGCGGAGAGGCATTTGATACAATCATATTGGTCATAGGATTTAGGAAATGAAGACATGAAAAAATAGCACACGTCCAGCATCCAACCCTTTCCCCGCCCCTGTCCCTGTCAGAACATTCTCGTCCTATCTGCCCCTATAAGACTCGCCCGACTGCATCCCGCGGCCGGTTTTTTCTTCACCTCGCTTCTCTTCTGATTTCCTTTCGCGTTTCATTTCATACGAAGGCTTGGCACGACTGCATTGTGTATTTCGGATGAAATATTTTTTTATTAAGTTCCTATTCATAAGTTGCACAAATAGAAGTTCTCGCAACAGCCCAGAGGAACTCTCGAGCACAGGGGAACATGGCAGAATCTTAAGAAAAGTTGACCGTCGGATGTATTCGGTGCCCGCCTGCCCCTACAAGCACCACTCTCACCCAGCACCACCTTTATTGTTCCGCACCGACTTCTCCCCAACCCACCTCTTCCGTCCCTCGCCTCGTTTTTCGCCCCCCCCCACCATCCGCTACACGATCTCCCGAATCTTTCTTTACGTAGTGAAATTTTCTTTCACTTTCATCTGGCATCAATGGACGTCCTGTTTCTCTATATACCTTGCAAATGAGGCTTGATTGTATTGAATTACCTTTACCCAACTCCGGAGAACAATGCTTCAATTTCTAAAGGTCATCGGCCTTCTTTCAATCTAATTGTGCTGGGATTCCACGTTGGCAATGCCCTCGTAAACACATTATTTAATGTTGCGAAACTAAATTGAAAAATGTTCTCCATAATTTTTCCAAGTTGTTTCCCCTTCTCGCATCTTTGTTTTCAGAGTTGGAAAATAAAGCCGGAAAATTCGTTTACTGCGACTACAAGATTCTCGACCGACTGAAAGTTAACTCTCTCATCTTCAAAGGCACAAAGTGTTGCTATAAAACTCATACGAGGGAACGTTATGTTCTCATGCACATTGCGTTTATTTACGTTCACAGAGCAAGTATATCGTTCGAATAATATATATTGAGAAGTGTGTGTTTGATCTACAGGTTAATGTTCCATTATCTAACAATATAATACATGCAACATGTTTTGTTTCTTTCCTCATTTCAAATCTTTTCGGTATCGGAAAGATAAAGCTCCGATTATAAAATGGGCTCTACTACACAATGGAGACTTACGGGAGCCCCCGAAAAATTATTAGTTTTTAATCATTCTCTAATTGTTTTTTAAATAAACACAAATACTTGAACATATTTTGAATAATATAAATATCAATTATTCTGTAATCATAAGGAATTTTCATTACAGATGTTATTTTTAGGTGTATATGAACTTTCGCAGATGGGAAAACGGGTATATTTTGATTGAACTCATCGCAAACACAATACCACTTACAATTTACTTGTTTTTGAAGTACTTTGTAACTGTGTACATATTATCTTACTGAACTAATGGATTCTCTGATGCACCTTTTCTTATGCGGGCGATATTATTGCAAGAAATCTTCCTAATACAACACAATTATGAGCCATTAAAGTTCATCAAAAGAAAATGTCATATGTTGCAACTTAATCAAGTAAAGGTAAGATAAAAATCCAAAATAAGTCAAAAAGTAAGGAGAGCAAGGTAACAGAAAATATAAAATACATAAGACAGAAGAAATAAAAATAACAGGAAAACCGAGTGAGAAACTTAAGAAAAGAAATTGGCACTGCGGGACACAAATATAAATCAGGCAATTTATCAATCAGGCAAGTCTCTTCCTTGTTCCAGCCTCATCCATTACTTACACACACTTCCAAATTCTAGCACTTCATTATCACGATTAGATGCCTTACACGCTTAGATGACTAGTCGAGAGCTTAGAGTATGTCCTGGCTGGGGTGATGTTCATCTTGGCAGATTTCTGTTTGGGAAAACCCCCAGCAAGTCGGCGTGAATATCGGAGCCTCACCCCGCCATCCAGGGAGGGAAGCAAACTTTCGCGATTAAACCATGTCCCACACTTACCGGACTAATATCAATAGCAGTTACGGCGCCCAGAAACTCTAATCGATCAAACAATCAATCAAGAGATGGGTGATGCTGCTAATGGAAACATATCGGTGATTTTCTTTTTATTTCTAGCGATTTTTTGGCCGAATGCTTTATGTATTTTCTGGAATATTTGTAACATTCCAGGCAAAAGGCGTAATTACGTTCTCGAGAACTCCGATTCAAAAAGTCTAAATGTGGCCGTTCAATTATTGCCTTTCCTCGGCCATTGGCATCTTTTCGGGGGTTATGTCATCATTGTGGCGGCGGGAGCCTAAACTACTGAAATCCCAGTACTGTGTACTGGCCTACCAGCCTAGCTAATAGCAATTGAAAAAATAAAATATCTTTTAAAGTTTTTGAAACAAATAATACAAGTTAAGTGAAATGGTTACACACCATCGATATTTAATTAACGATTAACATAAATTACGTAGCTTACGATGAGCCATCGAAACCACCACCAATATCGAGAAACCAGTACGGAATTTAGAGCTTGTCCCGGATGAGGTGCCGCTTCGGTGGGGGAAGATACCTCGACGAGGAAATCTTTCTCAAGCCGGCGTGTTGGTCGGCCTCGGATTTCACCATCCGATGAGAAAGAAACCTCACTACCTCTCGGAAAGAAACAATTCACTAGAGTAGCGATGCTAATGATCGCTGCAATTGTCGTGCCCGTACAAACATCAATTAACCCATCAGTCAATCAATCAATTAACCAGTCAATCAATCAATAAGCAAGTAAATAAATTCCACTTATCAATCAATAAACAATAAAACCATATAATTTACCATTCAATTAGTTCTTCAGCAATAAAACAGTTCCACTTACGAATCAATCAACAATTCAACAATGAGGCAATTGCGCTTACCAACTATTCAACAAGAAAGCAATTCCACTTATCAATCAGTCATTCAACAATTCAAATCAACGAACCAGCAATAAGGCCATCGCACTCACCGAGCACGCCGAGCCGGAAGTTGAAGGTGATGACGAGGACGTTGCCGTAGGAAGCGAGGGCGCAACCGTCGTAGGCGGCGCCGGCGCTCCACTCGAGCGACTCGGCCAGCACCAGCACCAGCACGGGGAACTCAGGCGCCGACGGGGTGCGCTCTGCAACACGCGGGCAACGCCTCGTGCTCGTCAAATGATCTATCTGCTACTTCGCATCTTTACGTAACTACCGTACATCAAATCCTGCTGTTGAATACTTTTGCATGCTAGTGCCCAAAATATTTTTTAGTAAATAGGGACTTTACGAGAATAGTAAAAAAAAGGGAGTGGGCGTGAACAGAACAGGCGAGAAGAGATTGGGCGTGAACATCACTTCCACTGTTCTATTGATTCGGTATCCGTATAAAATTAATTGTCTGAAACCACTAAGACAAATATAACTGATGACTCAAGAATTCGTATCCTATCAACAACTTGACCTAAAACAGGTGCCTTCAACCTGGGTTCCGGGGAAATCTAGGGTTCCCTGGAATGTTCACATGTGTTTCGCAAGTGATCATTATTTGTTCTGCAAAAACACGTAAAATAAAAATCATCTATGCAAAGGCTCTTTTTATTTAGGAACGGCGTAGTGAAATGTCTTATTAACATTTTAGATTAATATATTGAATTAAACATTACAATATTAATATAAATAGAAAATAAAAAGAGAGTTCATTGTACAAATATGTGAGGTTGATCAAACAATTAAAAAATGGTAAAGATAAAACCAAAATATACGAAAGTAGGGATTTTTATATTTTTCATTTTTTCATTTTCAGACAAATTAATTTATTATTTACCTGGTTCTGAGTAAAACGACATTACGCGAAACGTGTATCAGAATATGTAAAAAAAATTAAACTATCATTTTTAGTAAATTTGTACTGTGATTGTTCACAAATGTAATGAAGATTTTATTGTCGAGTTAGTTTAGATTTAAATTATTAACATTATGCGACAATCACACTTTTTAACACATGGACTATTTAAATAATTTTGCAAATTTGAGTAGAAAAAAACGTTGATAAAGTATTTGATCTACCGCTTAAACATGAGGTTCCTTCAAGAAACCCATGAGCTCGAGGGTTCCTCAAGGTGTAAAGCGTTGAAGACTCCTAACCTAAACTAATTATTTTGCCGTTTAAATATTGGACCGCCCAAACCATGAACCTCAATTGGCAAACTCAACCATTCCTAGTGGAACCGCCACAACAACTCAATCTTTCTCCACCCACCCACCTCTCCATCACGCGGCCCCAAAATCCGTCGTCTCGTCCACGAGTCTCCCGGGGCGGCTGCGACACCGCGCGGTCGCCGACGGCGTTCGGGCGTCGTGAGCGCGTCCTCGCCCGTCCTCGGGCGGCGCGCCGTCCCCTCGGCGCAGGCCCTCCAGGCGGCCGTGCGCCGTCCTAGCACGCCCCCGGGCCGCGTTAAAGGGTCGCTGACGCGCGCCCGTGTCCGCCCTACGGCACCGCCTCGTCTTGTCTCGTCCCGGCCCGGCCCGGCCCCGCTGGACGCCCCGCTTCTGCCCCCCCCCCTCCAGCCCGCTCCGCGCCCGGCACGCCCCCCCTCCACGCGTTCTCCATCCCACTCCGCGCCCTACCGACCGCCGACGCCACCGTCCCGCCGCGGTCCCGCACGATCCAGCTACCCTTTTCCGCTCTCGGGCAGGGCTTCTCAGCCACAACGCCTAATTCGCCCCGAACCCTTCTCGCAACACCCTCTCCCGCCCTGATCCGTTCATCTCTTTCCCATCCATACCGCCTTCCCACCCCGCTCCCTGCCCGGCCCGCTCGCCGTTTCACCGCTCTACCCTTCCCCCACTAACCCTTCCCCCTTCCCATCCGCCATCTCTCACCCTTCGCCATTCCCACCACAACCCCTTCCACCCACCATTCCATTGCCCCTTTTGGCCCACGCCCCTCCCCCTTCCTCCTAGTTCCTGCTTACCAATCCGTTCAAGCTTCTTCCACATCCCGTTTCACTCTTTCCCGCCGCCATCCCTGCCCGTCTCCCGCTATTCTCCAGCTACCCGTTCCCACCCAGCCTTCCTGTTATTCCCCTTTCCTCTCAACCCTGCCACCTTCCCACCCCCCTTGAACCTCGTCCCATCAATACCACCGGCCTTTCCTGCCCTGCTCATTCCCAACCTGTTCCTCCTCCCCACCCTTCCCGCCCCGTCCCCTGCCTGCCTCGACCGCCCGGAGGTGGTGCTGCACACGCCACCGCCCGCGGGCGTATTCACAGCGATTCCTTCGGTAAACAGCGCGGGAACCAGTGGGCGCCTCGACACGTGTCGTCAAAGGGGGCGCCGTCAAAGAAACAAGCGCACTAGAGTGTGCAGGCATTGCGTCCTGAAAAAATTCCGCGACGTATAATATTAAGGCTTTTACTCATCGCTCCGGAGTTGCGGTACGACACCAGATACTTGGCCCATGGCAGCTTTTTAGAAAAATCAGTTGCTAGTTATTGCCTCACATAAGTCATAATAACTCATACCTCCTCTACCACAGCAAATAATTCACTCAATAAAGTATACAAATATATTAGTAAGATTTCAAATTGTTAGTTGATACTAAAATTGAATTATTTAATCCAAACTCTCTCAATCATGTTTACGTAAGAGTACTATAATTACATCAACTTTCAACATTTAGGTTTCGAGGTTTAATAAACCAAGATTTTTTTCTAATAAAAGAGCTGTCAGTAACCGAGAATGATCAACTTACGAAGACTTATTAATTTATTTCTCGTATTTACTATACATACCAAATAATAGATTGATTTTATAAGACGCAATGCAAAACAAAAACATGGAATATATTTGCGCTTCATGACAAATATGTTTATACAAAGCAGAATTAAAAAAGGAAATAAAAAGAAATAGACATAAATAGTAAAGAATAATTTTACCACGATCACGTACCATGACAACCACGTACATCGTCTTTCTACACTCCATAATATCTGGGTTTATGAACTGTAAATATTCTTTCTCAAGTTCTCTTATTTAATGACATTTTTGTAGACACCCGCTACTTCTGAGAGATGAGAAAAACAATTACTTACCTATTTTGTGAAACTCTGGTGAAAAGAAGTGTACAAACTAAGACCGTAACATACATTTTTAATAAGATAAGTTTGTTTGAATTGGAAAATAGAGCTTTGAAAATGTTTCGGAAGGAGGTCGTCGGTGAGGTGATGGAACTCGTGCGTAACAGATCCCTAAGCCTCTGTCCGCAATCGCGACCTACACAGATATCGCGGCGAGTATGTGGTGGCTCACGACTGCTCCTGGGTCCCACGAAACCAATGAATCTAACATCTTGGGGTCAGCTAATAGGGGTCACGCGTCAGTTGTCGAACAAAATAATGAATGCACTGAAGTAAATCAATATTTCTTCTCTTTTAATAATTTACATTAAACTATTTACTCTATTTTTCTGCCTTGTATTAGAACTGCCATTGAAGTAAACTTTAATTACTTTTGTAGTATTTACAGTTTTACAATATTTTCTTCTTTAATGGACAGGATATCTATCGTTTTATTTAATCTCTGAGCGTCATCATTCTTACGCTTTTCGGGCTACTACTCTTGCCTTCGTGGGCCTGAAAATACCGCCCATATGAGTATTCGGGCGTTGAAAAATTTAATTATCGTTAGGAAATGTTTGTCACTTTTGTTACTGATAAATTAAGTAATTTACAAATTTTATTGAAGAAATTCCCGTGATATTAAGTGTTGGATGTTACAATTAGTTTATTTCAGTTTCTTTTTTAAATAGTTCTTTTTTATATTCCTATATGTTTGACGGCCATCAAATTTCTACAAACAAAAAATAGAACAATTCTTTCTCAATCTTCTTGTTAAGTTAACCCTAATCGTAATTTGGTCCTGTTATAATATTTTGATTAATGTGTTTCTGTCACTTATTGCCGAAACTTCCCTCGTACTTCGAAGAACTTACAGCAATATTGGCGTTGTCAAAGACGTCAGCGACTGTTCCATATTTCCATCTGAAGCTCTGCTACTTCCACACTCAATTCTAACATACAAATTCTTACTTTTATTCGTGACCTAATTATCTCAAATGTATTAAGACTTTTCTCCGATTATTTGCATTTAAATTACTTACCTATTCTCTTATTATACGTGGACTGCATGTCCATTTTCTATCTCTACGGACTAATTACAAAAATATTTCAATTTACAACATGACGGACAAAGATGCTTCCTCTACCAAATCCAGCATATTTCTGACTAAAATTGATTATTTACACATTCCATTCAGCCTTACCGGGTCATTTGTTTCATTGTTATCTTCCTCCATCGATGCGCTCTTGTTACATTGTAACTATCTACGGCAAGCGTATTTTGTTCCCTGTCAACAATGTCCTACAATATTTATCTGCCTCATTTCAAAACAGTTCTTAAATTTCACAAAATTTACTTAATGCAAATAATATTTTTATTTTCCCTTATATTCTTAATGTGTCAGTTTCTTTGCGTCATCGCGCAATTTCGAATGTTTTGCGAGTTATTCGACATTAAAGTTTCATTCAGAAATGGCGAAAACACCTTTAGGTGTTTTGCCTTAGCTTCAATACAAAAGTATAGAAGTATGGAAGCGAACGGATTCTTAAATACTTCACAGACATAAAGATAAATACTTTATCTGACTGAGATAAGTCATAAAAACGAGTGTTTCTTAAAGCGATGCGCTTTATATTCATAATTTTTGGTACCAACATTTCAACTCCAACATAATCGCAATTCTTTTAAAGATTAAGTAATGTGAAAAAATAGTATTCATAGGATTATAATCGTTCTTACTAGTTTCCAATTTTGTGAAGCCCTGGTGAGTGGAAGTATACAGACCCAGTCTATTCATATAGTATTGGAGTCATATGTATGACATTGTTGAATTAGTCACATATACCACGTATACTTGTGTGTGTGTGTGTGTGTGTGTGTGTGTGTGTGTGTGTGCGCGCGCGCGCGCGATATGTGATGGAATTATAATGTCAAAGTTTCTTCTAGTTACGGAATTGTCTTTGGACACGCTAATTCCCCTCGCGAATGTTTTCGATTTTATCGTTTTGCATGAAAATTTTCAAAAAATTTCTAACTATTAAAAAGTGTTTAACCCAAGTTTGCTGTCACGGAGTATCAATTGTGATGTACAATTAATTTTATTTCCATAAATACAATTTAATAAATTCTGTATATATGTTGCAGGATGTTGTTTTTAGCAATATTTTTTATAGTATTGTTTAAAACGTGGGTGAACAATTTCTCTTTATACTATTAAAATTAAATTCAGAGTAAATATTACCAATGTTCCAAGGCACAGTATTCTGTGGTGACCTGCATTCTGCTCTAAATTCTATGTTGTGAAGAAAGGTAAATATTCATTAAATAGGAACGTATTACTATTCCTTTTCATTGACTTAAACAATCCATTTCATGATCTCATGAAAAGTAAATGTTTTCTTATAGACACAAGCAATTATCGGTGATATATCTTAATGTTCGATTTTCGAACACTTTCAGTAGAATAAAGAATATAAACATTACATATTATTTCAATGAAAATTGTATTTTTGGAAAGTGGAATTTGTGTGTTATTTTGCATTAAATTGGATATATTTGTATGTCTAAGTGCATGAGAATATACATTTTATGATTCACAAAACGTTTTATTAATATTCGGAGAATGCGATCACTCTGCTAATACTTCTAGGAGGGTACTAATCCCTGAAACAAGTTCCCAATCCTTAAGAAGTTTCCACAGGTTTATGAGCTCAAAGTTGGAAGGCTTACCGTACACTTACATCTTCTTTGTAAACTTACGGAAGTTGTATGGATTTAAACGTGAGAGAAATGCAATTGCACAGAAAGTGTATTAAAGCTAAGCATTATTTGAAGAAAGCGTATTGCGCTAGCGGCACCATTTTTTCATTTTGAAAAAGTAAAGCAAATAATATTTGATATTTTGTACGTGAAGTTAAGGTTCATATTTACACCAATAAATAAGAACATACACCACACATAAATAATGTTTATATTATATTAATAAGCTATATTATAGTTTCAATTTTCAGGGCATCATTTTTTTGCAAGAATATGTTCGATATGTAGGCAAAATTTTCTTCAACAATTTTCAATTCGATCATGTAATTCTCATCTTTAAGTTTTTGTAAAAGAATTGGCATCTTTGATTACATTTTTGAATAACTTATCAATTAACCAAATGTGAGGAAATATACCAAATGTGAAGAAAGGCAATTATAATGAATAAAACTGACGCTCACTCTTTCGAGTTATTACCTGTTGAAGATGGCTCATTATAAAAACTTCGGTTCTAAAGAGCAAAATTGAAGATTTAAAAAGATAAAAGGGAGTGATCAGTACCCTCCCAAAGGCAATTAAAGAAATGTGAAAGAGAAGAGTAAATGCAACTAAGTACATTACAATTGTAAAATTCCAAAAGACCAGGAGGAAAACAAACACAATCTATTGCCTCGCTAATTATGTATGAAACAAAACTATAGTCAAATATCAATTACATGACATTTTTTTCCTAGCGCGTTTTCCTGCCGACAGCCGGTTGCCCTTTACGTGCCAATGGGACGCATCTTCGACCACACACTAGACACAAACACACATGCGGGCTTCTCTGGTCTGAGGAGTGCAAAAGCGAGCCCCACTGCGACAAAAAATACATGAGAAGCATGGAACAAACAACCATGCCCAAAGCATAGAAAATAATAACAGTCTAAGACAATTGAATTCTGTAATATTCTTTATAAATTTATAGTCTGAAAGGTTTAACATTTTGTACAGTTTATGTTGCTTCAAATATTTAAAGTTCATGTCTTTTTACTAAGAGAATCAACTTAGTGAAAATAAAAATTAGTAACAAAATTGGTAATAAGTGCTACAGACATATATTTGTAGCTCTTGATAGGATTCAACATATTGATACATTTCTAAAATATATCGCTTGATTTTTCCACAGTAGTTTTAAATAATTGTAATTCTTGTTGTAAATGTGAAATATCACTAGAAGCGGCATTTCTAGATCTGGAAAGCGTTACAGTTTTTTTTAACATAACCAGAAAAATAAATCGTGACTTCTCTAATTGGACAGTTTTGTAAACACTGCCGAATTTTAAAATAAAACTAGAATTGTAATATATTTTTGTGCACAGTATGCATTTGAATATCATTGCCATTATCATCCTTAAGATATAAGAAGATATTTTTGTAGTTTTGTATTCGAACTCTTTATGTCAAATTTGAAACTTATTTTATAATATTTTGATGATAATGACCTTTTATTTATCCGAAAATTGTAAATAAATAAAACTCCAAAAGTGTATAAAAAGCAGGGAATATAAAATTATGTTTGTTCCTGCTTCTTTAATAAGCTACTGAAGTTTTTAATTTATTATTTAGCTAATCGCACCGACAGCTAGATACGTGCCGACTTTCTGTTAATTCGCGGCACTATGCCCCGCGCTAGGCCGCGCTGTTGAGCACGTGCAGCTGCGAGCAGAGCTGCTGGGAGGAGTAGAGAGCAGAGAGCAGAGAGGGTACACAGCGCGCGCCAAGTCACGTCCTTGGGGAAGAACGAGCACTGGCGCGCGCCCTGGTGGACGGCTGCGGAGTTACGGGGCCGCGCGAATAAAGCAGGGGTTTACAAAATCTTTGGAAAATCAAAGGAGTGGGGGGTCGTTGGTGTCGCGGTGTGAGCGAATATTTTGCGATTTTGTTACACGAGTTTGTCTCTGAATAGCGGTCGGGATTAACGAGTGTGATAGCTACTATCTGCTTCTCATTTCTTCGTCTGACCATGATCAACAACAGCTCTAATATCATATTTCGAGTTGTATTTTGAAGTCGGAATAAAATGCTCTCTGGTCATATTTTAAATTATCTAAGAATATTGTTTTATTGAAAAGTATTTTTATTTAAAATTGTACTACTATTTGGTATTTATTATCAAAGTTACAATATTTTTCTTTTGTGTTTATGCTTACGTGAAATAATTCTTTACAGGTACAAAGTAACGTTTAATATTTAACCCAATTTTGGAAACTCCTCAAACAAAAGTATGAAGTGAAATAACATGTACTAATTGTAAGATTGCTAATAGCAAAAACACACGATATATGTCCTTTTTTCTAATGAAAAAAATAGGCTTGGACTAAAGGATTAGTAAAATGCATGTTCTGCAGGACCACAAAATAATATTATCGTGCTCTCTTATTTTTTCTTGCAGATATGACACTTGTTCATTATTGTAGTTTTAAAGGCTATCTGTAGATCTTGTACCTACGTTTGGCGACTTGCTATTGCAAAAAAGTGTAGAGTTTTAATTATTTGAGAAAATTAATTTTTATAAATTTCTTGGATAACGCAGCATCGGTGAAATGTGTTGTGCTATTTTATTCACCAGCCTTCTATAATATTATTAAACAACTTTGTTCCTACGATTGAGCGCAAAACTTTCTGACTCACCAGTTGATATCGCACTCTCTAAATGATTCCAGATCTCTAGTTGTATATAATGTGTTAATAATAAACTAATTATTTAATCGTTTATTAATTAATTCATCGTAAGATCATGCTGACTTTCGGACACTAAAGTTAACATAAAATGATTTTTTTAAATATGTACATTAATTAATCTTCTATTTAAAACCGGTGTAACAGTATAAACTGTAAACGCTCCAGTGCAACTGGTGACTCTTCTAAAAATATTACTTCACGTAATCAAGTAGCCGAATGGCTTTAAACGTCTTACGGGGGCCCTAAGAAAAGCGCTTCTCCCGGTTGGGAGGAAGAAAAGGTTCTCGAGTTAGGAAGCGCCGGAGTTATCTTCCTATCATTAGCCAGTGTTATCTAAAATCTGAAGATCCAATTTTGTTCCGCAACATAAACCTATCAACGACCCCCGAGCCCACCTGAACTAAGTTCTCTTCTCCAATCCCTTCTTCGCCCTCTATTTTTTTCCCCTTCGGATACCGCTTTCCCCCAGTAATCTTCCAAAGCTTGTTCAGCTTGCTTCTTCTCCTATGTTGGTGCATTTTTCAGCAAGTGACGAAAATATTTGCTTTTGTAGTCATTCCTGCAGATTCTGTATTATACCAACGCACTTGTTCATTCTCTCAGTTGCACTTTGAAAACTCATTGGATATTCAATATTTTGTTTTACCTACCTCTCTCAGCTTCGAGCCCCACCTGGTTATTTAGTTTACCGCACACGAGAGACACAGGTGGCACCGTCATGTGCGATGGAAGGCATAGGTGAATGTATCTCATGATTGTTTTCATTGCACATGTCTGATGTGGGAACAATTGCATTCCACTCACGAATCGTGAGTTTCTTCGTATATTCCATTTCTATATATATCTGAGCCGTCAAATAGAAATTTTAATAGAAATAGTAATCAATTTTTAATAATAAAAAGTCCTTTTTGTTATTACTGATGTTATGTTTATCACGTTTATCCTTAAATTTCAGTTTCACACAGATACAAAATCAAAGCATTATTTGAAATCTACAAAACATTCCAAGTTATTGTAACTTATTAACATAAAGTAATAATAGTTTTTACAAATAATAATAATAATAATAATAATAATAATAATAATAATAATAATAATAATAATAATAATAACTAACAATGCTTGAAAATCCCTCAAATCCCTCATGACGCCCCCTCCCCGCCACGAATCTCCTGATTTGTGAGGATCTATTTACGATAGGTGAATTCTGAAGGCCAATGATGATATTGTTCTCCAAACCTACTAGGTTTTCCCTCGATTACTGACTGTTTTTGATATGATGCCAGTGCTAGCAGTACAGTCGGAACAGTTGTCACTTCTGAAATACGCCATTATTGCTTTACAGCAAATGCTAGCTCTCTGATTTTATCCTGGTACGTTGTTCATTCCTTTCCGTCCACATGTGTTCGCTTTTCCTCCCCCTTCACATATGAGTTTCTCTCGACATTTCACCCGCCCTTCCCACTCCGCATTGCTTCCTTCGTTTCCCTTATCATACAATCTCCCTCGCGACCGACGCCCTTCCTTCACGTATCTTCCCCTCGCTGTCTTCGCCCTCGCCCGTGGCGCCCTTCAAAGAGGGAACTGCTCCTCATCACAAAGCACCCCTTAGCCAATTCATTATTGATTGTGTGGCGTCATATCTGTCGCCAGTACAAACGTACTATATCAGCCACGTGGACAGCGCTGGCGGAAGAGACGCTGGGCTGCACAAAGGCTAGGGAGCAAGGGAAGTTCGTGGGAGGCAACGTGGAGACCCCGGACCCGGCGGAAACGCGTCGTCGGACACTGCGGGTGACGCAGTTCCGTCAGCCTGCCCAGAAGGTATATAAGCGGATCCCGACCTAGCTCGATCTTCTGTTTTCATCTGATTCTTGGGCGCGTCGGTAAGGCGTCATGTGGGTTGTGCGCGGCGTTGCATTGTAATGCATAGGCGACCGAGGCGGGAAACCGAAGCCGGCGTGCTACGTCGTGACGGAAGGTGCGGCGTACTCGCTAGTATGCTCGCGTAAGGTACTGGTGCATCACACCGAACATGGTAATTAATTATCGGGCCAGCGGTGGTGGTAACCAGGGAAAGTTCCTTCTTGTAACGGTCATTTATGTGTAAATATTGTATATAGTATTATGGTGTCAGAGTATTTTATTTCTAATAAATACTAAATATTTACAAGCCGTTCACGTCTGTAATTCATTGCCCCGGCAAGACTCCACAATTGCTTCCGAGCGCAACTACTTAAGTCATTACTAGGGACCGGATTAACCGGACTATATGCAAGTTGGAAATGTATGCATATTTTACATATTTTTTTTGAAAAGTGCATATTTTTAACAATCTGACATATATCAGCACATTACTACTGCTTAAAGAAATCTGACTCATAAATTGCAGGTGAGAGTTCTTGGCATTAAGTCGTTTTTGTTTGTTCCATTCTTGGGAATGGAACATTCTATTATAATGTCTTCGAGAAATGTCATATCCAGATAATCAGTCTTTTCAATTCTTGCAACAAGAAAAAGTGGAGTTTCAAGTAAGTTGCATCAAGAAGAAGGTTCTTCCAGAAGAAAATTTTAATGGACTTCATGTAACGTTCTTTAATGGCACGATTTAAAAATTGTCCAACAACTATGATAGGTGTTGAAGGAACATTTTCGATTTATAAATATGTACAGATAAGTAACGTTTTGATTGACAATTTTGAAAAACACGTTTCGCAAATGCTACTGTCTGGTGAAGACATTGTCATGAAGCCTATAGTTAAAAGGAGTAT